TTTGTCATAGAAATGTTATCTTAAACCTCTATACATAAATAAATAATAACACAGAAAACACAATTTGAAAAAGTTTGGGTTTAAAAATAGAACAAGAAAAAGTAGCTCAGTTTAAGAGCGCCAGTAAGTACGAGTAGAACAAAATAATAATGAGTCATTGCTTTCTTTTAGCGCTGGTTTTAATTACTGATTTCGTTTTTTACAGTATAAGTTTTTTTTTTCATTTGTTTTTCAAAAAGAAATGCTATTTAGATAAACATAAGGTTTAATTGAGAACAAGCTCACGACACACTGATAGGCTTTTTCTTTAGTTGTGATTTTTTTCCTCGTTACTATAACCATTTTTATTATTTTCTGATACGATATTTTTATTTGTTCATATTTTGCTGATGAGTTCATAATCAACGTAGTTATAATGGCCATGGATATTGAATACCCAAGTTGGATAACTATAATATTAATGTTTGTAAATGATGTTCACTTATATAGCTCTGTTCTTTGTCAAATTTATTCTCAATTTATAATTTATTACATAGATTCACATTACACACACTCACGCTTTATTTCCATCCAGGGTAAGCAGAGTCGATAAGACGCCACTTATAATGGTCCTGCCATACATCTCGCTTCTGTTCCACTTTCATCAGGTCTTTTATACACGTTGCTTTAACCTCCTTTGGTAGACTACCGATGACTGATACTAATCAGTAGTGTAGGCCTTATAAACTCTTTTATTCACTCGCTCTTCCTTTCAACACACCCAAATCACCGCAGCAGAAAGATAGGTAATTAGCACTCCACCACTGTGCGCTTTTCAAGACAATTTTTGCCACGCACAACCAACCTGTGGTACACTTCTCATGTTTAAATTTCTTAGCTGTTTTATATACTGAGAACGTATGCATAATATTATGACTATTTTCTTGCTATTTACATAAACCCAATATACAATATTAATATTTTTTGCGTAAATTTTAAAGTTTGTAATAAACTAAGATAAGCTTATTAAGTACAAGACTTTGTTCCAGCCGAAGAGCAGAGAGGCTATAATAAAGAAATATCTAAATTTTCAACGTTCTGTGAAATTAGATTTTGTGCGTCTTCTTTTCACTTTATTATGAATACCACGCGAATATTACTGTTTTATATGTAATTTAAATAATAAATAAGACTTCTAAAACAACCATATTTCCATATACCTATGGAGATAGGCGTATTAGTAATAATATTCCACCACATTCACACAACGCCATCTAGTCCCAAACTAAGCAAAGCTAGACAACTGATATAAATATATACATACTTTTTTTTTGTAAATACATATATATTATACATAGAAACATACATATAACATATGGATGGCGTAAGCGGTCGCCACGCCGCTTCCTAGTACGTCGAGTGTTGTGGGTTCAAACCCCACATGGGACAACACTTTGTGTGATCCACAAATTGTTGTTCTGAGTCTGGGTGTTCTTTGTGTCCATTTCATGTATGTTTGTAAAGTATTCCTAATGCGGGAGTTGTCTTTAAAAAAAAAACACCCAGACCAAATCATACATTAAAAGTTCATGCACACAAATGTTTGACTTGAGCGGGAATCGAACCCGCAACCTTTGGAATAGCAGTCCGTTACACAAACCACTACGCCATCCGGTCATCATTTTTTAGTATATCGTCGTCTCCTCTTTGGTCCCAAAGAGTAGACGACTGAACTGATGTTAAGTGACATGTATAGGTACTATAAAACATATGTTAAGAAAAAGTTGGAATAAATACTCCTATTTCTTTTCATGGTACCTTTGATATTGTCGATCAGTGACCTGTAAATTTTATATGAAGGGGTCAAAATTTTATAAAGAATAATTGAAATAAATATTTTCTTTTATCTTAGTCACCATAAAACCGTAATAAGTCAAAGTAACACACCTTGGACTTTTGGAGACAAATCTCTTGGTTTATCTATTCCATTACCTCCATTCAACTAACAACCCTGTTCTCCATAGTCAAACCTTCAAACATCAGTTCAAAAACATTAGTATCTTGTCAATGATTTGCGCCTTCTAGCTGTAAAGTCCGACTTTTAAAAATATCTGAAAAGATTTACTTGCAGAAATAAATTTCATTTCATTTTCATTGTTTTCAATTACTTTGTGGTGAATAATAGAACGGAAATTGAATTATTTTTCCAAATTCAGAAAATATAAACTGTACTTCTAAAGCAGGAGACAATTTGTTTTATTTACAATCCAGTTAAAAATAAATAGTTCTAACAACAGCACCGTGGTTTTAGATCGTTTGTTATTCAATAAATATTTTATAGTAGTTGTGCTAAACTTTTAGTAGTACAAACAAAAACCCAAACATGACGAAATAAGCCCAAAGGTAATAAAATAATCATAGAGCGAATTATTAGATAAAAGGTTTTGTTTTGTGCGAGACGAAACTTTTGTGGGATGGACATGGAATAAACCCGAACTGGAAGAAAATTTTAAATGTATACTACTTAATGCTACTAAGAAATTTTACTTTCAAAAGCATTCAAATTACTTGAAACGTGAACACAATCGAATAGAGCTTTCCTATACTTTAAATAATAAATTAATTAAAAATACACTAACACTGAAGTATATAATCACTAAATAAACTATGACTACATACAAGAAATAATAAGTTTATTAAACACACATTGCAGGGACCTGAGGTCATCGGAGAATTTAAAACTAAAAATGCCACAACATTCCACCCAGTTTGCAGACAAATCTTTGACTGTGCAAGCAGTAAGACTTTGGAACAACTTGCCTTTGACAATCCGACAAGCTAAAACCTTGACCGTTTTCAAAAAGCTAGTGAAGGATTTTTATTTGACATTCTAAATACTGTTGATTTAAATATATATAGTATATATTTTGGACTGTATATATGTTGTGTGTCATATTTATATATATTATGTTTATGTGTGTGTGTATGTTTGTATGTATGTGTATTTATCTATGTGTAATGTGAACAGATGTTTATTTGTGTATGAATGCCTTTGTTTATATTTTTAAATATTCACGTGAAAATGCGTTACGTGTATGTAAACTATCCAACTTTTTAAATATCTAATATCCGAATTAAGGTTGTCTGTAAGAGATCGCCGTCAGCGATAAGACTGCCGATTGTTACGTCTATATATTTGAAAGTATCTTACGTGTTAACTGTAAACAATAAAGATATAAATAAATAAATAAAATAAATAAAGCTAACAACAATATATTTCTTCATTGTAATAACTGCACTGAAATCTTTAAAGGTATACCAATATTTATAGATGATATTGTATACTCTATTATAATTCATTAATGTTACCTGCTACTTGATAGTTGTTCAGAATGTTCTCGAAAAGTGAGCAAAGTGTACGAAACTAAGTTTCGTACCGTGGAAGAGCCATGTTTCGCCAAAATGGGCCGGCTCGACCGGAGTGATACCACGGCCTCACAGACAACAAAAAACCAAAAACGGAGTGAGTAAGGTTACCGGAGCCCAAATCCCCCTTCCCGCTGACTCGAGTGGGAGGGACACCAAGGGCAGCAGCGCAATTGTGACTTTTGAGTTGCAGGTGTCCATGGGCGGCGATAGTTGCTTACCATCCGGTGACCCGTCTGCTCGTTTGCCCCCTTATACCATAAAAAAAAGTGAAAAAAATACGAAAATATCCAATATGTTCTTATAAATATGACTAGTATCAAGCAAATTTTTATTTGACATAAAATAAGTCTAACCCTCACCTAGTTACATCTCATTACATTATATTTGCGCAACTTGTTTCAGATGAAATGATTTGACAAAATACATTTCGATGTGATGAATTGTAAGTAGGCCAAAGAATATTACTGCTATTTTGCTTTATATAAACATAATTAGTCCGTTGTTCATTAACATATCAAACTTACTGTTAATGCTACGAGTATATTCAATAAGGTAATTACATCTATCTGTGAATTGCAAAAGAGTGGCCATGAGTTTGTTTGCCCTTTCTTCTCATAAGACTCAACCCCTTGGAAACGAGCGGTTGTAGATAAGCACAGGCATATCATAGATTTTGTATGGGTTTGATTTTTGTTAAATTTATTTGCTTACTATTTGACAAAAAAGAGATTGTTGCTTTTGTGTGTGTTGATCTATGACTTTAGAGTCTACATAAAAGACGATTTCAAACAATTTAATTTTTTTTATGAAAGAAAGAGAGTTTGAGTTTACTGTTCATATATTTTTGATATATATTTCAATCTGATCAAGTTTTCTTCGGTTTTCAATTTTTATGAATATGCGATTGCAATCGACAAACGTACTTTATGACTCCTTTCTTCCACCTAAAATAATAAAACCAATTTTCCTACTTGAGATCAAAAAGAAGCAGGCTAGGCCAACTCCGTACTGTAGGTATGAGCTTGTACTTGTAGCACGTGGTTGGACCAGTCCAACACTTGACGACCGCCGAAAGATACAGATCAGCAGGCGATCGGATCACACGTGACTTCGAAAGAAGGAATAAAGATAAGGAGAAAGAAGAAGGAAGAAAGATAAAGCATAACAACGTCGTATTCCGCTACTTAAATTATAACAGGATCTGAAACCTATACTTTCAAAGGACATGCAATATATTATCTAGGTGAATACAACTGTTTTTTTGTTGGACACTAGTCGACGTTTATTTAAGTGTTTTTACTTAGTAGCTATTATACTGGGATCTATACTGGGATTATTATGTATTCTATGGCACAAACACTCAAAAACCACTTGCAAAACTCGAGAGTACCAAAATCATTTACATAAACACTCTTATTTACTAAATTGTACATTTTCATATTTAGGATGAGGTAAAAAAGCTAAATTCTTATCTAAATTTACTGATACCATTAATACATTTATTAAAAATTATTATTTTTTTTATTTGTTCATAATATTTACAACAAACGCCTTCATGTTAAATTCATTCCATAGCCTTACAATATGTCACATTAACGCTTTAAGTCAATAAGCCCGTGTCGTTGTAGCATTTCGACTGAGAGAGCATGCGTGGGCGCAGTACGTCGCGAAGAGCGAGTCACGTGGCTTAACTGTGTTGTCTGCGCCCTAGTTTCAATACCACGTGGGATTTGATGGGCGAAGGTGTGGCTATTATAACGCATAGTGTGCATCTGTAAAAGAAACATAAAATCATATGCAATGAATTAAAATAATATAAAATTAATAATAACTTGACTTAGTCTCACATAACAAAAACCAAGTAGGCACTGAAGGATCTTTTAGTGAAATTATATCGTTAATAATTAGAATTAATGAAGTTATGTTTTGTAAAATTATAAGTTAGACCTACAAACATAAGAAATATTCAAATTCAGATTTGAATAGCATTTCAGCAAAAATGATTTCATACTTTTTACAAGATGAGAACAAATTCCAATCACCAACAACAATCCATTTTCAAAACTGGGTTTCGAGCCAATTTTGAGGAGGGTTCTCCGAATTATTTTAAAAAGGATTTTTTCAAAATCATTTTCCACACCATTCGTAAGGTAATATTACTGATAAGATTTAGCTTCAGTGAGGTACCCATGTACATATATGAAATCTCTCTCTCTTCCAAGCTATTCATCCCACATGTTAGTGCAATCAGCTTTCCTCGCCTGTCTACTCCACTTCGCTCTATCAACTATGTTGTCTTTGGAAACCCGACAGTCCTTCCTTTTTGTCTTTGGCTTCGGTCTACCCCTGCTAAGGAATTTGATTCTACAGTAATTGTTGCACTCAGACTTGGTGCCTTCCTCCCAGCCTAGCCTTAATCGGGACTATAGTGCTCAATCTCCAAACGTCCGGCATTTTTGACGACATTAGCATGTGGTTAAAGAAATTCAATTGAAATGTTTTAAGAAATCCTGAAAAGATTTCAATTTGAGAAATTTTAAATTGACACTATGAGCTCAAGTCTTGCTCCACTGGGATATTCCTAAAACAGAATTAAATTTCAAGTATTGATAGAATGTTATTTAATGGTCCAATATTACCATAAAATTGGGCAAACTTCACTTACAAAAGCTTTAATATCTCACTGTTAGAAATCAGACTACAAATTTAGAACTAATTTATCAAAACTAGTAATCATAAATCGTTATAAATAATTTTCATTATATTTTGCACTGTACGGCGACGTTAAGTGTTATGAGTTCGATAACCATATACTCGTAGGACACCACTTTGTGTGATCGACAAATTGTTGTTCTGAGTTTGGATGCTCTTTGCGTCCGTTTCATGTACGTTTGTAAAGTCCTCCGCTTCACAGGATATGTTCCTAATGCGGGAGTTGTCTTTTTATGAACAAAAAAAATTATCATCATCACATCAACAGCCTTTAAAAGTCCACTGCTGCTGAGTATAAGCCTCTCCTTAGAAAGGAGGTTTTGGCCTACTATACCATGCTGTCGGGTTGGTATAGGGTTTGTGTCAAGTTTTCCTTCTCTCTGCAGTATTGTTGTTCTGCGTAGTTTTCTCCCTTAGTCGGCTCTTACGACACCCACGGGATGAATAGGGGTGGTGACACTCTGTATTCTTAATCCGTCACCACACGGACCAAAAAAAAATGTTTAGAAGTTATTATACGAAATAATAAGGTTTTAGATTTTTTAATTATACGTAATCATCTTAACATTCAAGCCATATTCACTTATCCTATTCATTGTTTACCTTATATTCAGAATACCTTTCCTTGTATTTCAAACAAAGGCTCCAGATGGCATCTGAGCAATTCCACCAAACCATTACTTGCTCCCCGAGGCATGAAGATGTATTGTGTTTCGTGAATTTATTTCACTATCTTGTTCAGACTTACATTTGTCGAGACGGTTCACATTTTTTAGAGAAAACTCATTGGTATTAACTAACCTAAAACATCTTATCTGTTAGTAGTTGTTTCTTTTGGTTATAGGTACGTGGGTCTATCTTTAAATATTATTTTAAAAGAAAATATTGTTTAACTTGTATTTTACATCTATTGTCAACATAAATGACATTATATCCTCTTGTGCTCAGTAGTTCATATACGTCTGTAGGCTCAACGTATCATCAACAGCCTATACTAGTCCACTGCTGGACATAGGCCTCTCCTTAGAAAGGAGGTTTTGGCCTACTATACCACGCTGGCCAGACGGGTTGGTATAGGGTTTCTTTCAAGTTTTCCTTCTCTTTGCAGTGCTGTTGTCCTGCTTAGTTTGCTCCCTTAGTCGGCTCTTACGACACCCACGGGATGAATTGGGGTGGTGACAATTTGTATTCTTAATCCGTCACCACACGGACTCTTAATCCGTCACCACACGGACTCAACGTATACTATAATACAATCAAATAACCTTACGTGGGGTTAATGGTTTGATTGATGATTATTTTACTGTAAAGGGTATATTTATCAGAACCCTAAAAACTGGGAGAAAATACCCATGGAACTAAGCTCATCCAAGGGGTAATGCAATCACACTAATATTTTGTGAGTGTGCGTTTGTATGTTTGTTACCTCTTCACGCTCAAAAGGCTGAACCAGTTTTGACAACATTTGGTATGATTATGATGTATTAGAACATGTAAAATTCACAGATTGATAATGTTGTGATAGAAGCCATGGTAAAGACAGAGGAGCCAAATAAGTGCGGAGCGAAAGTGCGTGGAACTCTGCCGTCTCCTTCTGCGAGCAAGTTATGCTCGCGAAGGAGACGGCGGAGCGGGACCGGGAGAGGTTTAGGACTCTCCCGGCCCGCCAGGCCCGCTCCCTCGCTTCCAGGGAGCACAGGGAACATGGGGTTCCCACACGGGGGGGGGGGGGTCGTCTACTCGTCTGTAGATGACCCGAGGTATGTCGGGGTACCAGGGACTTCCTTTCTAGGGTATACCTGGTTCCCCGGCTATTAGTACCCGAGACGGCGTGCGGTTTTAGTCGGTTCGAGTCCGACATGCCACCGAGAGGTGGTATCCGAGGGGATTGCCGCACGGAAAAAAAAAAAAAAAAAAAAAAGGGAGCCAAATAAAAAGTATGTTAATTATCAAATAATTGATTTCATTGCAGAAAAGCATTTGATGCTTTTTCAAATATTACATAAAAATAACATTTACTTCTAAATCACTGTTACAGTCCTGTAGCAAAGCCTTCCTTGTAATCTTTCGATACTTATGTTGGGTTACATACTACTGTTATCGTGGTAAAAAGTATCCTATGTTACTTGCTGATAATGTGGCTTTCCATTTTTGAAGGATTTTTTAAAATCTGTTAAGTGGTTTAGGCTTGATAGCGATTCAAACAACCTATCTTTCACGTTTATGATATAAGACCTTGCCTGCATATGCGTACTTATACTTCCATATAGATTATGAGTTGCTATCTATTGAAGTAAAAGGGTAATTATAAAACAGCTGATACCTGTAAGTAGCACCTCTTGTGCGGTTCGTGGTACAACTCGTAGTCACTGGACGATCCTTCAGGTTTTTGAGCACACCGCCACTAGTAAAACAAACATTTCGATTATTTATATATACATTCATAGGTAGTGTAGGACGCCCACAGGCCAGTGTGGAGTGACGATTTGCGCAAGATGGCTGGCAGGAGCTGGATGCGAGAAGCCCAAAGTGCAATGAGAGAGGCCTATGTACAGCAGTGGACTGCGATAGGCTGATGATGATATATACCTACATAATTATGTTCGTCTATCATATAATAATAACCTCACACTAGGCAGAGATTCCAAACTAGGCAGAGCCTGTACTATGATAACCAGACTGCTGATAAACATACTTATATATTTCTAAACACATACATATTATAGATAAATTACACCCAGATACAGAACAAACGATCGTACTCATCACATAAATATTTGTCCTGGGTAGGCATCGAACCCACGACCTACGGCTTAGCAGTCAGGGTCATTAACCACTAGACCTACAGCCTTTAATAGTCCGCTGGCAAAAATAGGCCTCTCTTTAGAAAGGAGGTTTTGGCATACTATACCACGCTGGCCAGACGGGTTGGTATAGGGATTGTTTCAAGTTTTCCTCTCTTTGCAGTACTGTTTGTTCTGCGTAGTTTGCTCCCTCAGTCGGCTATAGGGGTGGTGACACTGTATTCTGTATAAAATATATTAACGTCAACGTTAAGAATATATTAAAAGTAAATTAGATTACGTATCTACTTTAGTGACTAAAATGAAATTAAAAAATTCTTAAAAAAGAAATAACTTTAGGCAGAGCCTGTAGTATGGTAACCAGACTGCTGATAAACGTACTTATATATCTAAATACAAACATAACATTTTTTTTTTCCACATTCACACAACGCCATTTAGTCCCAAACTAAGCAGAGTTTGTACTGTGGGTACAAGACAACTGATATAAATACATTTACACTTTTCTTTCATAAAAACATACTTATTATACATAGAAACACCAACCAAATCAAACATTAAATGTTCATGCACTCAAATGTTTGACTTAAGCGGAAATCGAACCCGCGACCTTTGAAATAGCAGTCCATTACCCAAACCAGTACGCCATCCGGTTGTTGACACATAGACAAAGACCAAGTAATCTTGGTCATGATACAAATATTTATCCTAGGTGGTAATCGATTTTTGATGCAGCAGTTAAGACACTGACCGCTACACCAACAGCCCAGTTAAATTATTTGTAGGTATAACATGACTTTTGAGGTTAGGATAGTCATAGATCAGCATGCGTTTATTGTCACTGTATCCTTTCTAAGAGTGGTAGCGTGATTTTACATAGCCTAAAACCTTTACAAGGATCTCTTCATAGAATGATTTATTCCAATCTAACCAAGAGTTGCGTGCTTAAATAAACAAACAATCAAAAAATTATTCATCATCATCATCATCAGCCTATCGCAGTCCACTACTGGACATAGGCCTCTCCCATTGCACGCCACTTAGATCGATTTTGGGCTTCTCGCATCCATCGTAAAAATTATTCACTTTTATTATATTAGTCTAGATTACGATTTTCTTTTCGGTAACTTGACATTCGACTTGATTCACACCAAAACTGGCAACTACGAACTAATTGCCTTAAAATTATTAACTACTACTAAGAATTAATTGCCTTAAAATTATTAGAAGCAAACAGAATTTTTAAAAATAACCTATATACTTATAATTTTCAGATACCCAGTGTAACTCTCAAAATAAAGGCGAATGTAACGTCGGCTCAAACGCCAAAATCTACAGAACGTGCCAAAGAAATATACGAATCTTTACAATAATAAACACAAAATACATCAAGCACCCATTATTGCTCAAAAAATCAATATTCCTAATGGCGTTTGTAATCACAGAACGGGCATACGGTTACCTGACCCCGTTTTTGTCCCATTGCCTCTCTAAGATTTGCGACATTACTTGCCCTAGCTCCTTTACCCTATTCTTGACCCCAATCTACTATCACAAGGAAGATTGACATCGGGATTGGCCGGCCCTATTTACATTTACGATCCCAAATTGAATTGGAAGAAGGTTAGAAAATTATAAAGATAAAAAAATACGGGCAAAAATCTGACATTAGAATGTAATAAAGCTTATGATAACGGTTATTAGCTGCTTATCTAAGTACAAATAGTCAAAATCTATCTGAATTTTCTTCAAAATATGTTACTAAGGAATTTTTAGTTCATATCTTATTTTCCCTTAAAATCAAATTATTATAATGACAAGTATTTCAAATTAAAGTCAAAAAACTAATAATAACATAAGTTCCCAGAACTGTGCTTACAAAATATCACTCAGATATTTCGTTAATAAAAATATAGAATATTTTTTTCCATTTTAATAAAGATAGATTACTTTGTTATTTGTATGTTACTTTGTTATTTGTGTATACCTCGGACATTTAAAACATATTAATAAAAAAAAAACCGTTCAAAACATTGTGATGTCACGTATTTATTTCATCCATCGTAAAAATTATTCACTTTTATTATATTGCTCTAGATTACGATTTATTACTTTTTTCATCATCAACATTATTAAGTATACACCATTATAAAATATTGGGTGTGGGAGTTGTTTAGTACATTTTTCTAACTATTTGAAGGTAGCGTAAAGTAGGGACTAGTGGAATTTTACGAAATGTATCCTGCTACAATATACTCTATATTTATATGCCTCATCAAGCGTGTGTTTATTTTGAATGGATAAACGTAAACTTCGAAACATCAATAAATATAAGTAAATAAATAAAATATGGCAAAGATTTCTTAGATGCGAATACTTTTGCGGTTACGGCATTCCCTAGAGCGCTCACGAGTGTTACAGGTAAGTATGGGCTTTTACAGAGGCAAGCTTTAGTTTAAACAAAACTTATCTCAGAGTTCGCACTTTGATCTTATGAACAGAAACACACACACACAAATCATAGTACTGTTAATGACGGCAGCAAGCGACGTCTGCAATACGGTAAATTGGTTGACCTCGGTTAATCAATTCCAACTTCATATAGGTTTTTGCGAGCGGTAACCAACCCTTCCTGGGTTTGATTGATCCCTTGAAACAATTCCTTGGGGCTGCCAAACGAATTATCTCAGAGACTACTTTTTTGGACAGATATCGGTCAACTTATAATGGAATTATATATCAACAAATCATACACCTTATTATCTATTGATGAGAGGAGATCAATCCCGGAGATTGTACCCTTGTCACATTTGCTTGATCTCGGGAATGGACTTCTTTAGGGCTTGTTATAGTAGTAGAAACTGAAAGGTTTTTTTACAATGAAAAACTTGTTAGATCACTTCGTTTTTTGTCTATCAGTCGGTAGCTCACGTAAAAATACGTAGAGATATAATTTTTATCACTAACTAAAGTTAATCCCTATTTAGTACTCCCTATTAACGTTGAATCAAGAATTTTTGCAAGAAGCAAAGATTAGAACCAGTAGTAAAGGCAAAAATTTTAAAGTCGCCAATTTGTAGTAATCACAAAAGAAAAAAATCTTTAACGATTAAGTTCTATGCTTCGGGAGTACTTTTAGAGAAATGAATTTAAATATATCTATTAGTTAAAGTGCAAAGATTCTGACTCCGTTAAATGTGTAACGGAGTCAGAATCTTTGAACTGAAATCTTTGAAGTCTCTGACTCCGTAACACATTTAAAGGATTTTTTTCTTCTTTTTAAATTTCAAGTCATTCTTAAGTAGATAAGTCAGATATCGATAGAGTCCCTCGATAGAGTCAATATAAAACTTTATGACGTTACGATAAAATTTACAAAACATCAATGACAAATCTATAACATACCCCATAATAATAATAATAATAATAATAAGAATATCTATAATAAGGCATGACGTCTAACGTCATGTCAAGACACAACAAGATGTTTGACCGGTGAATTTGCCCGGGTTTTATCGGGCCCTAAATAAGTCCGATATAGACTTAAAAGCATCTACGACTTGGCTACAGTATGGTGATCTCTTCTGAGAAACTGAAGTTATCATAACCAATAACTATCTTAAATATATCCTGAAAGAGGGTACGGTTGACATCTGTCGGGCATGCCACCGTCCTGGGGAATCAATTAGGCATATTATTTCTGGATGTTCTCGTCTCGCTAACGGTGAATTTTTTGCACAGGCATAACCAAGTAGCCAGGATCGTACACTAACAGCTTGCCCTTAAATAATAACTTGTGAATCTAGAGGTGCCATACTACAGGTATGTGCCCGACCCAGTTTTCGAGAATGGTCGGGTCACGTTGTATTGGGATCGATCTATTATCACAGACAGGACTATTGTTGTCAATAAGCCTGATATTGTAGTGATAGATCGATTAGAGCTCCGCGCAATGATTGTTGACATCGCCGTTCCTCATGACAAGAATCTCGTGAAAGTTGAAAAAGAAAAACAAATAAAATATTTGAATTTATCTCACAAGATTGTCGACATGTTAAATATCGATTCAATGATCATTGTTCCGATACTCGTATCTGCACACGGATTGATAGCCAAGAGCCTCGACCAACACCTTAAGATGCTCACATTAGACGGTTGGATCAAGGGTCTGATGCAGAAGGCAGTCCTCCTTGACACGGCCCGTATAGTGAGAAGTTTCCTATCTTTGGAGTCCTAACCACTGGTGTTTTGGTCCCTGTACCCGATGTCGGTGGTCTACTATTTTTAAATATGTTTTTTTTTAAATATTTTTAAAAGAGTTTTAAAATATAATTAACATGTTTATAAAAAAACAAAGAGAAAAATAATCATAAAGATTTTTTATTCGGACAACAGAAATGCAATTATTTTTCTTACACTACTGCACTGTTATCTATATATTTTAAACAATTAAAATTATTCGCGTATTTAGTACTTCTTTACTCTGTGTAAGTCTGTTTGCCAGTTGGCAAAGGCCTCCTCCAACCTGCTCAATTCTGATCTCTCTCTATCTACTCTACTCCATGTTATACCTGCAACCTGCCTATCCCTAAACCTATTTATATCTTACCCCTTAACTCAAGTTTAACACAAGTATGTTGTCGTTTGTTGAATGGCTCTTTGCCAGTTGGGGTGTTAAAAATTAACATTCTGAATGAAGAGTTTCTTCTAAATTGTTGCCTTAGACGTGACTTAAGTGTTCTTAAAAAACCTCTTAATAAATCCCTAGGATTTGTATTCACAATTACATTTTAGCCTTATCTTAAGCATCTTTGAATGAAGTTGAGTCAAGGTAAAACATCTTCATTGTATATAAGTTGTGTAAATAGGGATTTTATCGAGGTAATGTCTAACTAATACAAGGTACCAAGGTGCGACTTATTTTATTTCTTTTCGTCAAAGGTTTCTTATATTTTAGAGTAGATGATATAATACTAGTGAATTAATAATAATAATATTTCGGACATCTGGCACAATGCCTTGTATTTTCAAACTATTAATACTATAAATATTATTTAATTATTTTTACACAAATAAGAATTAGGGGAATTAGTTTAGTTTTAGAAATTACGTTTTTTTTTTAACCGAAGTTCCTTATCGCGCATTCCTTATGGCAGCGAGACCGAAAAATGTGTAACAAGACTTTTTTCCGACACTATAGAATGTTCCGACCGGGGGTCCATAGACCCCTCACACATTTTTTAAGGAGATAATAATAATTAAGGAGAGGGAAAAAAATGGTGGTGAATACAGGGCAGACATACATATGTACATACATACTCAAAAATACACATACATAATATATACATACATACACAAATAATAGAATAAATAAATCTTTAAGAATGTGATGAATCTGCTGGAGTGGCTAGAATTTGAGCACGAACTTTCGTCATAAGTAATAGGCGGCTGGGTACTATCCTGATTTCGAGAGGTAGAGCGTTTCAGAGATATACATATTGGATTAGGTACAAAGAGGTGATTGTTTGATTGATTCTGTTATGATTGGAACATATAAATTGGAATGGGGAAGAAGGGGAAAAACCGTAAGTTGAGGATAAAATAGAGGATGGTAAGGGCGCACAGCTGACGGCGCTGATAGATTGTGAGCCAGTTAAATTCGCGACGAAACGAGGTAACATGGTCGTATTTGCGAAGGTTAAAAACGAATCGAATGCAGTTATTCAGAAGGCCTTTATGTTTATTAAGGATGACTGCATTTAGGTCATAATAACATACCCGCCACCATACATACCATATCACCATAATCCAAGATAGGGACAGTAAGGATCTTTGCACTTTAGAAAGGGAGAAAGGTCTTAAGCCGATAGAAGGCCTGTAGCGTACATGTAACTCTCTGCCTGACACTGCTGGCGCTGGTGAGCTTGGTGTCGATAAATAGGCCTAGGTTCTTAACAGCAAGACTGAAGGGAATTTGACTGCACGTATGGCGTAGTGGTTTAAGCGGTCGTCTCGCCGCTTCCTACTACGCCGAGTGTTGTGGGTTCAAACCCCACATGGGAGGACACTTTGTGTGATCCACAAATTGTTGTTTTGAGTCTGGATGTATATATACATGCATACATACTTACATATTTACTATATCCAATATTAAATAAGCACATTAAATACCTAGTTTTATTGTTTTACAAAATTTGATGTAAGTAACAAATAAGGCTTCGTTTCATCTTAAACTGTTTTATAGTGAACGAATGCACGCCTTAATGGTAACAAAGCTCCAATATTCACTTCCTAGTTGCGTCATCAGACCATTATAATCTCATCATCATACATCAACAGCCCTTTAACAGTTTATTGCTGAACATAGTCCCCTCCTGACATAGGAGGTTTTGACCGAGTTTTCTTCTCTTTGTAGTGCTGCTCAATTAGCCGACATATACGACACCCATGGGATGAATAGAGGTGGTGACACTCCGTATTCTTTATCCGTCACCACACGGATGTCTTAGACTCGTTAAAAAGAACTAAACGTATCGAGTATGGGTTGAGGCCAGTTATTATAGTTATTATAGTCGAATTATTTAGTGGCTACTAATATCCACTAAATAATTCGACTGTGGATAGTCGAATTATTTAGTGACTGACTGACATCTGACTGCATTATCAGATGAGCGCCAAGATGCTCAATTTAAGTATTGTCATTCAAATCACATAGATAAACAAAATCTCACTTCGACAAGTCAATTAGGAGTAAGTTAAAAAGAATATAAAAGACTTATTTACATAGTAAGTTTTCAATTTCCAAAACATGCAAGAAATGAATTCCTTATATTTCAGGTTCATGTCTAAAGTTAGGTATTAAAATGAAATGTAAAGTTTCTTACCGTGAATTTCGTCTGTTTGCAAACTCCTCGACCGCAGAGCAGCTTCCGCGCTGACCGCTGAAAATTGCGCGTCATAAGGCAATACACTATGGGATTGATTGCTGAATTCGCATGACCTGTGACAAATTAAACATTAAGTTTAATGATAATGTAAAAGTCGTCATGAATTAGTTTTACAATACTACATTATAAAATAGTTTTCTTTAAGATGTTGATATTTTTGAGAGTAAAGTAAACCAAACATTATTTTACTAATTTTTGAATCAGTTCTATTCTCGCTCAGTGCAAACATTTTGTATTAATCAGTGGCTTAATAAGGTGTGTAGGTATCTACATAAAAGTATAGTGTGCCTTCTAAAACCCAAGCATTGAAGTTACGCTTAATTTGGGTTTTTTACAAAAAAAAGCAAATAGTCTTTCTCACACCATCCGAGTTTTTTATTTTCGTAAATAGATAAACTAATGTCGGACTTTCAATTTTTTTTATTCTTTTACCTTAACCTTTTTTTTAACTTAACGTCACCGTAACCCGTTAAATCTCTAAGCATCTCCCCACACCTTGAAAGCAACAAAAACATCCAAAAAACAACTTAAAGTTTAGCTTGACACACTTCAGAAAAAATGTACAAGTACTCATAGACAGATAGTTGGTCAAAGAAGGGATCCTATAATTACTACATTTTTCAGTTTTGAGGAACGGAACTCTAAAAACTAAAAACAATTACACAAAATCTGGTGTATATAATCCACGTAATTCTTGACAATTTTATAAACCACCTACCTATATTTCTTTCGAAACTAAAATCGGTCCAATCCTAATTTGGCAACTGAATTTCAGTCTGACAAATTAATGTTCAATTTTTATGTTACACTCATAGAACTAAAAAATAAATAAAGTTTAGTTACGAAATTACTAAAAAAATGAGTAATTTGATCGTGATAAAGGCTTAGAAACGACGTAACTGTGTGTCAATTATTCATTCTTACTTCAAAAGATTCGACGAAAAAATAGTTAAATACAGAGGTGCCTGGATACCAGACGTTATTACCTTGTACAGATAATGAAATGTGTAGACAAAAGTAGAGTTTGAATAGTTTCAGTTCAAAAAAGAACAAATATATTTTTGCAAAAAGCCTTTAATTAGTGTACAGTTGTAGGTGGCTATATGAGCATATAATCCCAGTCATGGTAAGCAGTTATCTGCACCTACAATTACTCGTAAGACCCGAGATGGAGGTGGTATAGGCCGAACCCATGGTACCTTACCTTGTTCTATTCTATTCTATTCTTAGCGCCCCTACCCCAAGCAGAAAAAGGTTTTAAAAGTTTTTACAAATTATAATATTAAAATGAATATTTATATATTATTCAAACCGCCATTTCATAAGGTCATCGCAGCAATTGTGTCTCTAGGAAAATGTAAAAACATAAAAAAATGAATGAAACACAAACCCGTCCGTTTTAGAGTGAGCCTTATAACCGTGAGCCGTGTAAACAAACTCAAAGCCATTTTTTTAAATAATATTTTTTTTTTAACGTCGGCACTTCGGCAAATTTGGGTAATTTTATTTCTTTTTAATTTTGGGGTTTGCGGTGGTGTGTCGGAATTAGACCGACTAATACAACAAGATGTGCCACTCTGCGCCTGTAATATGAGGGATCCGGAAACTGCTGTTATTAAGACATCCAGACCCCGGAAAATATGGGCCAGGCTTAACCGAAGTGATAAGACTGCCTCACAGACAACCCGTGTGAACAATTATTTATTAATCTGCCTCCCCCTTAATTCTGAGGGAGCATACAAAGAATTGTAACATTCTTGTGTCTCGTCATTTTTGGGTGTCTATGGGCTGCAGTAATCACTAACAATCAGGTGATCTCTGTGTTCGTCGCGCTCTATACCAGAAACAAAAATATTAATTTTATTCTATACTGTATTAGGTGTGCCCTTTTAAGTTAGAGTATTCATTAAAACAGACAGAGTTATGAGATAACCAAGAACTTAAGACATTATTCGAGAAAGGTTTATTAAATTAAACTTTATGGAAACTTGAAAACACTTAGAAATACTTGATGGAACTTAGTTTTGAGGAGTATGGACTTGCGAGACTTTTGATAACGGGATAATTGGCACTCCACCACTGTGCGCTTTTCGAGACACTTTTTGCTTCGCACTACCAACCTGTGGGATGGGTTATCATCTGCGGTATTTCCGTAGCGATGCGACCTTTAAACCTTCAAGAAAAGAGCGTACTCTTTCCTCAAAGGCCGACAACGCGCTTGTTAGTTGCAGGCGCTCATGGGCAGTAGTAGTCGCTTTCCATCAGGTGAGCCGTCTGCTCGTTTGCCCCTTATTCCATTATTAAAAAAACATTTAAACCCCATCTGGTCCATATTCTGCCAACGATAATAAACACGGATGGAAAAATTTACTAATATACCTAAAAGTGAATAATCTAAGTTACAATATATAAATAATTTACGTTACTTGATATTTAGTCACTTTTTAGTCAATATTACTGCTACGTAAGGTATTTTTTACCCTGTCACCAAAAAAAAGTTGTATTTTCTTGTAAGTAATATACATGGGAAATCAAATTTACTTTACTTTAATAACAATATTTATTAGAGGCTATAATTTGGTAATCAATATGTTTATTGTACATCATTGTGTTACATTCTCGTAGATACAGTCGATGTCACACTTAATTACGGATCCTGTCGGGAACAGCAACGTAGGAGAGAGGTCTTTATTTGGTATACATACTATATCTATACCCATACCTATATTATGTGTATAATCAAGGTTGTTTTCACTTACAATGAGATAATAATCTGGAATGCTGAATAGAATTTTTTTGGTTAAAGTCTAGAAGTATCAAGCGAATCATTATTTTGGATACATTTATCTGTAATTATTAAAGTAGAAGTGTGGTGACGGATTAAGAATACAGAGTGTCACCACCCCTTTTGCAAACTACACAGGACCACAGCATTGCAAAGACAAGGTTTTTTTTTTATTACTGTGTGGAATCCCCCGGGGTTTGGGACGGGGTGGTGTGTCGCAATCGGACCAACTAAAGCCACACGGCGCGGCGCCCGTATTAAGAGAGAGCCGGGAACTGCTACTACTCTGTCAAGAAAGTACCGGCAAAAGATCAATAATACACAAAATGTTTGTTATTCATTCCAATTTCTTTTATCACCTTCAAAGTATGCTCCTTCAGAAACGATACACTCACGCCAACGAATAATCCAATCATCAAAACAACAACAACAACAACAAAACGCTTTTTTGTTTTTGTTTTTGGAGAAAATTCAGGTATTTTGGGACTAGCCGAGCGGTAACATGTTTCATACCCAAATGATTAGTTAAAATGGTACGGATCTACTCATGAGATACAGAAAGTTCGGCGGCTATCTCTCTCAAAGCTGAATGAGGATTTTCAGTCACTATTTCCTTCACTTTTGCGATGTTAACTTCAGTTGCAGACGTTGATGGCCTACCAGAGCGAGGCGAATCTTCCATCACATCTCGACCGCTTTTGAACGCTTTGTACCACTCATAAGTACGTGTATTTGATAAAGTCGATTCACCGTAAGCCTTCTGTAACATTTTCAGTGACACGAAATTCCATTCCATTGGCGATGCAAAATTTAAGACAAACTCTTTGTTCGATGTTTTTGTCCATGTAATTCACAATACACACTAGATATGATATAACTAAAAGCAGCGCTGTATTTAATATAAATAACAGATGCAACTAAAACCTCCTCGCCAAAATGGAAAACAGCTGTGCCAATCTAACAACAACAAAAAAAAACAAAAATTTGAATTTCAACCATAAACAAATCATTCATTCCTGATACTTTTTTGACTGGATGTACATAAAAGACGATTTCAAACAATTTAAAATAAATATCAAATAAAGAGAGCTTGACTTTGACTTTGACTTTAACAACCTGTCGACGATTGGTTAGATATGAATTTAATAAAATTGTAATACCAATACCAATATCATTGAGCTTTTTCAGAAGGATTTCATATCTAATTGTGTCGAATGCCTTCTTCAAGTCAATAAAAATACTTGGTGATATTTGTTTGTTGATAATATTGGTCTTTATTTTTGTTATAAGATCTATAGGTGTCGATAGCGTATTAGACTTCTCTCTAAAGCCATACTGCTTTGTATGGAGGAAATGAACACTCTATTTGCAGATTGCTTTTAAATATTCTACTACGTTTCAATTTTGTAATCTGAATAATTTAATTACATAATTAATTTAATACACAATTGATAAGATCATTTTTATCCTTTATGGTATATCTTCAGCGCTATAAGGCGCAAGTCCGGCCGCATGTGGAATACTGATCTTATCTCAATGCAGGGGCACCTCAGTACCAGCTTCTCCCTCTGGACCGCATCTAACGAAGAGCCACTCGAATCGTCGATAGCCAAAAGATTTGCGACGGGCTCGATTCGTTAGCGTTACGTAGAGATGTAGCTTCACTCTGCATTTTTTATCGCATGTATCATGGAGAGTGCTCCGAGGAGTTGTTCGGACTAATACCAGCCGCAAATTTCCGCTATCGTTCCACACGGCAAAATTATTACCTGGATAGTTGGCGCTCCACTACTGTGCGCTTTTCGAAACAATTTTTAACCCGCACAACTAATCTGTGGAACGGGTTATCATCTGCGGTATTTCCGAACCGATACGACCTTCAAACCTTCAAGAAAAGAGCGTACTCCTTCCTAAAAGGTCGGCAACGCGTTTGTGACCACTGAGTTGCAGACGTTCATGGGCGGCGATGGTCACTTTCCATCAGGTGACCCGTCTGCTCGTCTAACATACCTCTAACATAAGAAAACTTATGATTCATTAATACTTTCTTCGTCACGATCTTTAACTGTATAACCGTATTAAACCTTGTCTCCAAGACTGGTAATTAATTTTATTTAATACATAAAGCGATCTTTTTATTCATTACTAATTCCATTGAATAATTAATTTGGTTGAATAAGTATTTGATTCGATTGAAAACGGAGGTCATGACTTTCAAACGATTCGGCAGTTTTTCGTTCAATATAAACGAAAAATTACGCTTCAATAGAGAAAAGCCGCATTGTGGTAGAAGTTCGGACTTGATTAAATATTATACTTACTAACTTACTTCTGTTTGCGACGTTTAGCTTATTAAGTGTATAATAGATATTTTGAATTGATTCATTTCATTTCGAATCAATAACTGTAAGATTGCCTCTAAGATTCCTTGAACTCAAATTATTTTCACTGAAAGCTCATTGGATATGTTCATTGTTAACAAAATATAAACTTTTTCTTTTTAACCGACTTCAAAAAGGAGGAGGTTCTAAATTGGGATGTTTTTTTATATGTATGTTCAGGCGGAACTCCGTCATTAATAGACGGATTTTCAAAATTCTTTTTTTTTTGAAAGGCGTTTATCCGAAATGGTCCCATTTAAATTTTATGTAGATCTGATGATGGAATTCGGAGAAAGACAACCGAACTCCTTACAAAATGACAGCAAATCAACCGCTATTGCCGCTAGGTTATTAGTGCTCTTTGTAAGTATTGTTTGCAGTCGGTTCAACTTTTCTTTAAAGGATTTTCTTGTGAATATATCTGTTTAAGTAAGAAATACATTTTAACTAATAATGTTAATTAGTAAAAAGTGGAGATTTACATCAAAAGCATGTATAGATGTCTTTTAAAACCTAAAAATATGAGCTTCTGTTTCAATGCATTCAGAACATAGTAACTTTTAAGTCTGATTTTAACAAATTCATGCAATTCGATTGTATATCAAAACTTTAGGGTACTTCTCATTCAGGTTACACCTGTAATCATCCCACCGTCCGTCAGGAGATCCGAGGGGATTTCCACACGAAAAAAAACATTAAAAAAAAAGGAACTTCCTTCTGACCAAGTTTTTTTTAGCAAGAAGTTATAATTTATAGATTTTATATTCTGCGTACTGTATATTTATTTTTCGAACTGTATAGTTAAAGTTTGTTTTAGTCAAAATAGGGATAAATATTTTTGTTTTATTCAGTTCGAGTTTAACGTAATCATCCCACCAGCCGTCCAGTAAGGGACATCCGAAAGGATTTGCGCACGAAAAAAGCATAAAAAGGTACTTCCTTCTAAGCTAGTTTTTTTAGCAAGAAGTTATATTTAATAGATTTTATATTCTACGTAAAAGAAAATCGAACTGTATAGTTAAAAGTTTGTTTTAGTCAAAATAGGGCTAAATATGTTTAATTATTTATAACAAGGCTGTTAATATTAGTTACGAATAGATATAATAAATTTGTACTTACCTATAAATAAAGCATAAGGTAAATACATGCTGAGATCCTTAGCATCGACTAAACTGATGTCCAGTAACAACTGCATGATGTTGTACGGCATCCAGCACATGGCGAATAATACTGCTAGAAGGAGTAAAATCCACGCCACTCGCTTCCTCTCCTTCATAAGTCTTAGTCCCTGGAACAAAGCATAATAAATAAAAATTAAAAACTTACTAGGTTTGTAGGAGGCATGACAGAAGCATCGCGTAAGTGCGTGATATTCTATAACGAGTAACATTGAGTTCGTACCCGCGCCAAAATAAACGTAACAAAAAAGATCTGTGTGCCTGTTTTTCGCATTTTTGAAAACATATAATACCCCTCTTAACGTCATTTTAATACAATAGGTCTTACATAAATAACAATAAAACACTTCCGTGTGTCTGCCGACATAATAATCATTAAATCAAACCACACGAAGTGCACTGCAAAGTCGCTTGGAGAGTATTTCGTGCGATTAATTGCAAATAAAAGTATGAGTGCGCAATGTTGAGAGATATACAAAGTATAAATACATAGTCAATGATACAGTTTACATAATATACATTGAATATTTCCCAGTTTTGCTCTGGGTTCAGCTGGGTTTATACATATATCGCACTTATATTTTCCCATGCACAGCGCGGATGGCGTAGTGGTTAAAGCGGTCGCCACGCCGCGTCCTACTGCGCCGAGTGTTGTGGGTTCAAACCCCACATGGGACGACACTTTGTGTGATCCACAAATTGTTGTTCTGAGTCTGGGTGTTCTTTGTGTCCGTTTCATGTATGTTTGTAAAGTCCCCCGCAACACAGTATATATTCCTAATGCGAGAGTTGTCTTTTTAATATCAAGTAAAAAAAAAACAACATACTTACATAAGAACATATAAGAAATACAAACTAATTCAGCAATATAAATATTGTGTTCACACATGACTTTTTTAACACATCCCTCCAAATAAAAATATATAGTTTTTGGATCCAATTCGTAAGCCCGAAAAATACATCTAGATTTTATTTTTATTCACACTTATTTCACTTAAACTAAAATATATACACTTCTTGTTAAAATGTGTGTCCTTGGAACACATAAATCAGACAAACATCTCAACACACATGCTTTCTTGGCAACATAACCGTAAACAAGACATTTATCATTCATTTACATTCAAAACAAATAAATGTTTCGATATATGCGTTATTGAACTGTTTTTATGAATCAGTATTTTGAAGACAGCGAGGTATTTCCAAGCTGTAATAATTGCGCTACGTAAGCAACATTATGTGGTGGTGATTCTTCTGCTGATTCTGTGAGCAAACGAAAAGACGGGTCACTTTATAGTAAGTGACCGCTGCCACCCATAGACACCTGCAACTCAAATTTCACACGTTCGTTGCCGTCCTTTAAGTCCCATAGAATCAGCGAGGCCACAAAATCAGCGGGAGGGAGGGCTTAAATCGTTCACCTCTCTCACTCAGTGCAAAATAACAAAATATTTTCCTAATGGAGGTTGTCTGTGAAGCCATGGTATTGGTGTCGAAGCATGGCTCTCCCAAACAGTACCATTTTTAATTTTATCTTATTATTTAATCATACTTTAATATCCCTTGATGATAGATGGTCTCTTCCTTCAGCCTGCCATCTCAATGGTTCACATCCCGTTTCCACTATTTCTCTATATTATTGCTTCAGCTATCCACTTATGTAATAATACAATTGGAGCATGAGTAATTACTGACCTGTTGCATGCTGACATTTCCCTCGTCAATGTCGAAGGGTGGCCGCACCGAGCAAAGCGTTCGCCCCATGCAAGCGTACGACATTATTGTAATGGAACCTGTGAACAAAATAGTAGGCTTTAGTGAGAAAAAACACTGAGACGCCCGACGGGAATAGCAACGCCCTATTGAATCCGAAACTATTCAATACCTACGAAACACATTTATAAGGAAAACCTCGCACATTTTGAGGTTATAGGTTTTTTTGTAACAATATAATATTATATTATACATACTATTGTTGGTAGAACTAAGTTTTAATTTTATATAAACAAAAAGAAAACACAGTAAATCCGACAGTTGATGCAAGACGCGAGGAGTTGAAATCCCAAAGATCAAATATACTTTTTTTTGGTGCTCACATGGCCGCAGTATGTTAAGACTGTTATTAATAAATAAGATCAGCTGACCTTGTGTGCTCCTCTTATGCTCATCTCAGCGTTATTACTACATAAGTCCAATGCTAGCATATAAATGATAACAATGGAGATACAGCAGCCGCCGTAGCCCAAATCGGCTGGGACAGTCAGTTGCGACCCTGACCTACACGAACTTTAATTGCATTCCTAAATCCAGCCGTACAAGCAATATGCATTTCCTATTATAGAATTCCCTCTGATCTATCTATCTTATCTTTCAACGTACTGCCATTTATTATATCTAATTCCTAATTAGACCCATTTAAGGAAATAGGTTTTTCTACTATTGACACTTTCGTTAGATATCCCAACAACACACTTAAGAAATCTATACATATAACAACGTTGAGTTGGTTTGTGTCCGCCTCAAAAACTCAAAAAGCTCTTCACAGATCGAATTCAAATTTTCAACCCGGTTCAAAGATGGTTTTTATGTATTTTTCGCATCATATTTTTCATCAATATACTCGTAACTAGTACATTATTATTTTATAATGCCAAACTAATCAATCATCTTTATAAACGATAGCATGACACATAAGTTAAATTAAACATTAACAGCAAATTCAAAAAATAGGTGCTTAAAATTTAAAAAGTGGCGATTTTAATTTTTAAATGTTGCTCCTTTCTGCTCGTTCATGGGCAGTGGTAGTTACTTTCCATCAGGTCACCCGTCTACTCATCTGCCCCCTCTTACATAAAATAATAAAAAAAAAACATAAATACACGATTAAGATACAGTCACGAATAAGATGAATCTAATTAAACCTCCCAAGCCAAAATCCATCAAGCCGTTAAGACTACATAACATGCCAAAGAAATATACACACATATACTAGAAAAACACATCCCTTCTTCTGATGTAGTCGGTTAAAAGAACGTTTTATGTGGTTTTATCATATCTTACAATAATTGAACAAATTTTCATACTGAAAAACATACTGCGAAATATTATCCACACATTTTCCTTTTGAATTGCTGCTCATTATAATATTCAGGATATTTAATTGTTTTGGATCAGTAAATGCTGGTACCGCACGACTGAATAAAATAAATTTGAACCATTATTATATGAGTTTCAGGGTTTCGTAGTCTTAACAAGGAACCCTTATAGTGCCAGTCCACCGTTCACCCCTAATTCTAAACTCAAAGGGGCAACGCATTTGTATCTATTTTGTTGTTTTTCTGGTGTCGATCGGTTGCGGTAGTTACCATTAGGTGACCCATCTGCTGGTTTACCTACTACGCTATAAAAAACAGTAGTGGTCTCTTATCATATCCGGGCTATCCAAACCAGATATCTTTCACAAGTCTCTCAACATCAATATTAATTTATACTAAACGACGTGAGCGATGTATCTTGTCAATAAAGACCTATACCTATTTTTTAAACTTTAAAAAAAAAGGTTATTGGCCTTTCACATCTTTATCTGATGTTTTAAGTAGCTCCTTTGTGGCAACTTTTAAAATGGCTGTGTAGTACGATGCGAGAGCGGCAGTAACGCCCACACGATTGGCATTTGAGTTTAGGATCGTTTGGAGGAAGGGTTGGTAAATCAATCCTCTCGGTCATGTGTCTTTTTTCACGCTTGTCGGTTAAAGTCTGGCATCATCTGGTGTCATATAGACCATAACCATTGCTCAGAGACTTTTTCCACTTATTGCGGTCATTTGCTAAGTCTTCCCAGTTCTCATTTTTGATGCCGAATGCACGCATGTCGCGCTTAGTGCAGTCTTTAAATCGCAACATGTGCCTACCTACCCTCCTTTTAGCAAAAGCAACTGCGCCCAGCGGCAGTTTGTCCTTTGTTAAGGACTAAAAGGTAAAAAGACAATAAAGAGAAAATAAGATTAAGAAAAAACATGAAATATAATATATAGTGAAGTGAAACATTTTTTTAATAAAAAACACCCTAGCCCACATTACATTTCCACTTAAGAAATAGCCTGCGCAAATTTATTCCCAAGCATTTTTGTCTTCTATGTAATCCACAATTGAGTAATAGGCTCTCCGACACAATTCACGTTTTATTATGCGGATTTAAATTTGTTAATACTTAAGTCTTTAATATCATTTGGGATTTTATTATAAAATCGTATAAATACATTGACTTCGAAACGACTTGTTAATCTTTTTGAGCCTAGAGACAGGTACTAAAAGTTTATTTCTATGGAGATACAACATAACTTTTTTTTAAAAGCTATCATTGTTTTTATGAACATTTATTATATTTTCATATATATGTTGACATGGCACTGTAATTATTTTTATTTCTTTAAATTTCTGTCCCAATGAAATTGCCTAAATTATAAAGTGCTCGAATCGCTCTCTGTTGCAGTACGAAAATAGTTTAAATGTAGGAAGCATTCCCCTACAGTAAAATACCGTACAACATTATGTTGTGAAAATAACTGAAGTAGACAAGTCGTGCTGTATCACTATCAGTCAACTCTCGAATTTTTCTTACTGCTGAGTCTACTCGATAATTTATCATTATGTGGGCCCCACTGTAGCTTAGAATCTAGTGTTATCCACAAGGTCCAACTCGACATCCTTAGTCATCACAGTAGTTTTCATTGGTTTGACGATTGGTCTAGTGAAACGTATACACACAGTTTTTGTTCATTTAAAAGCAAATTGTTGAAGTCAAACCAATAAATCACTTTAGAAATGGCGCTTACGTCTGTGAAATTAGTAAGTGTCCGTTTTAGTCTAAACAGGAGTGATGTATCATCTGCAAACAACACAATCTTGAGATTGTCCTTCTGGACATATACTAACTGTTCCTGCATAGAGCTCGGTAGTGCTCAACCCAACGGCCCAATTGGCGCTGATGGTCGTGAATAATCGTACCGTCGTTTTCTTTAAGAGGTGCTGTTCTTTTTGCAAGGTGGTCTTTTTATTCCTCGTGTAAACGCCTGACAGATCCCTAGCGTTGCAAAGCTCTGTATGTCCTCGCACAGTTTATACCAAAAGTTATCAGCAAACTGGTGACTTATACGCTGAAGGTTCTACTAAGCAGCATGGAATGCAACTCTTATTGCACCACAAGGATTCATGCGATCATCTAAGGCAGCTTGGCGTTTAATTTCAATTAAAGGCGTCAGATGGATAGTGTTTACTGAAAATTATATTATGAGTTTCAAGGTTCCAGAACCAAAAACTTGCCAGCAGCTTTTGTTAAACGCGACTTGATGGAGTGCCACTCTGTTTCCACTGAAGCGTCAGCATCCCAAGTAGCTGCCACTCGGCCCACAAGATCTGTAAATTCACTCACCATCTCTAAGCTCTTGATGTTAGAAAAAATAAATTTTATTCAAAAAGGTAGTCCATTTAAAGAAAATGGCCGTGGTTTAAACAGCTCTGGTTTTCTTTGACCTTGCATTGAACAGATCTAACTTTGCTTAAGAAGTTCTTGGCTTAAGAAGACTTAAAAAAAAATACACCTTTATGGTTTGTTTCGGCATTTCTTCCCAGCATTTATCCCACACCATTTCCAATCTAATGTTTATTAATATTCTCTAAACAAACCCGGGGAGAAGTTAATAAGGAAACTGAAAGAGTGTTTACATTGGGACACAGAATGTGTTAATGGCTATTTCGTGACGCCGGTATAACAAAAGTCAATGATTGAATTGATTTTGTCTGACCTAAACATTGGATTCTGACACAAAGACCGTACGTTGATTAATATTTCCTCTTTGAAAAAAAAAACTAAACAAACAAAAAATGTAAATTGAATCATTTCAGGCGCTTTTTACTTTATATCTATGAAACAAAGAAACAGTCGACTGTATAACAGTTTCAACTCCAAGTAGGTAGTCGCCCTTAAGTGTCTACACGTCATTCAGGGTAAACAGGTACAAGACTAATTTAGGTATTTGTAGAATGAATGAATGGAGACTATTTTAACTTCTCTCCATTTCAAGAGGATGTACTGGTGCGTAAAATTACTGGGAAAGCTTGCGGCTTAGTTCGCCGGGAGACCTTGAAATGATAATTGTAGAGTAGGGCTCCTGAGGCCGACCGTCGGGTTGTATTTTTTAATGGAAACACCACATACTCTTAGATACATCGTCACAATAGTGTTTTCAGGAAGCCGGAGATCCGAAGGTATAATTCACTCCGTAAACAAAAGTTCCACTTAATATTTTAATATATAATCGCTCTAATATTTGTTTTTGTAAATATGTTTTGCATTTTCATATAATGAGAAGTATTTATTTATCTATTTTTTCATTCAAATCATAATATTGTGTTATATACATTTTAACAACATTTTTAGATCGTTTGAATAATTATAAAAAATGTATTTAATTAGTTTCTTTATCTCTGTGGAAGAAAGAGTCATGCATATTTAGAAGCGCAACCAGAGGAATGTCACGGCCTGACGTAAAACCGCTTAGGAGCATTTTTTTTGTTGCCTTTGACCGTGTGCGTGAGGTAACTGGAGCTCAAAATCCCCTACCCTCATAGATTGCCACACTAAAGGTTGGCTGGGAGATAATGCCCAGGGTATTAAGTCCGCCGATGTACATATATATATATAAAGTTGTAAATAATGAAATTATTCTGGGCGTCTCCCCCCAGCCGGAAAGGTTGAGTGACACATGTGACTGTTAAGT